CAGTTCATTGCAGTGAGGAAGAATACTTAATTCTTGTTAATTCTTACCTTCCTGACAAATGGGAAAACCATGTGATTATGTCAAGTCTTTGGTGGAAAAACCACTCTCTTAAATGAGTTTCTTTAAGTTTGGTCAAATAATTCTACTTAAAAATATGTTGGTGTTCCAATGCTTATGGTTAGAGCTAGAAAAAGTCAGTTTGCTAAATGCCCAAAATAATATACTGTGGAAACTTCTTCCAGATAGATATGTAACTAAAAAACTCTTCTAATGAAAGATTTGGTGGCAGTTTATTAAAATTCTGTTTTTGTAAAAACAAAAAACAACACATCTATATATATAAGGAGCCAGGGGCCGTCACATCTGAAACAACTGAACTGATGACCACAGGCTGAGTGGGGCTTCCAGGCTGGCAGGGTAGTGAGGGACAGCCAAACAACTGAGCAGCAGGCTATGTGGGGTGACCAGGCCGGCAGGGGGGTTAGTGAGGGACGACCAAATGAATGAGCAGCAGGCTCTGTGAGGCAACCAGCCACCCGGGGGGGGGGGGGGGGGGGCAGTGAGGGGCGACCAGGCTGGCATGGGGCGCAGTTGGTGGCAACCAGGCTGGCAGGGGGGGCAGTTGGGGGTGACCAGGCCAGCAGAGAGGGCCATGAGGGGTAACCAAGCCAGCAGTGAGGGGGGCAGTTGTGGGCAACTAGGTCGGCAGGGGGTCAGTGAGGGGCAACCAGGCTGGCAGAGGGGGGCAGCTGGGGACGACCAGGCTGGCAGGGAGGGCAATAAGGGGCAACTAGGCTGGCCAGGGGCTCAGTTGGGGACGACCAGGTTGGCGGGGGGCAGGTGGGAGTGACCAGGCCGGCAAGGGAGGATGTTAGGGGTGATCAGGTCAGCAGGCAGAGGCAGTTAGGGGTGATCAGGCTGTAGGGGGGCCAGTTAGGAGCGATCAGGCAGGCAGGCAGGAGAGCAGTTAGGAGCCAGCGGTCCTGGATTGTGAGAGGGATGTCCGCCGAGGGGTTCGGATTGGAGAGGGTGCAGGCTGGGCTGAGGGGACCCCCCCACCCCGTGAACGAATTTCATGCACCAGGCCTCTAGTATGATGTTATGATGTTGATATAATCGGAAAACATTATCTCAGGAAATGTAACTTTTTAAAATTATCTCTTTAGAAACTGTGCCCTAACTCTGCTTTGTAACTGTAGTAAACCTTTTTCCCTTTTCTGATTATCTGTTTCTTCATATGTCTGAGTAAATAATAGTAATACCTACCTCACAGGTATGCAGTAAGGCTGTACCAAATAATGCATGTGAAATGTGGATCACAGTGCCCAACGTACAGCAGACGCTCCTTGCATTTTGATTTTTTTCTCCCTTCTCCACAGCACTCTGAGATCAAAACTCAAATTTCAAATTGGACTTTTTGTTAAGCAGGTTGTGGTGGCACAGTCACCAGATCTCCTTGTGATATGGAAAATGAAACAGACCAAAGCTATAAAGAAGGCACACTACTTAAGCCCCCTGTGCTTTCTCATAGATATTTTGTAAAAGCTAAATCTTTATATTTTAAGAGATGCAAACGCTCTCCTCTGACAAAACAGAAGCAAAACCCCAGACACAATAATTTCTACAGAAGTCCAAAGGGAAGTTTTCAAGTTCACTTGTAAACCTCCAAAACCTGTGAGAACAGAAAGGCCAGGGGGAGAGTACCTATACAAAATGCATAACTGTTTCCCCTGGTGAGTGAGTGAGTGAGTGAGTGTGTGTGTGTGTGTGTGTGTGTGTGTGTGTGCGCGCGCGCGCGCGCGCGCATACAAGGCAAAAGAAAGGCATCATTAATTACTGAGGCATCTATTCCTTTATAGTGAGATTTTCCTTAACAACTATATTCCTATTATACATGATCAGCTAATAAGAAGATTAAAACAACTAATAAATTACTTAATTTAATTTGCTTGGAAGGGGTGTTAAATAGAACAGTTTGCAGGATCATTTCACTTCTCCTGAAACATTTACCCAAAAGTGTATTAGGTGGTTTCTAAGTGGATTGGGTTCATCAGCTCAGGCAGAAAACTGGGGGAGGACAGAGAAATGTGTCCTGAATTTTAATAATACGTCACTGTACATAAGTGAATCATAACATGCCATTTTGGAAGTGACTGCATTTACTGCAACAACCCATCTGCTACAGTGTCCTTGCTCAGCACGGGATGCAGTAGCAATAATTCACGCAATATCTTGACAGAACTCTTCAAGATGAATCCAAGTTATTGATGGTGTACAGGTATGGCATGAATCTTTTAGACTGGCTAACCTCTCTTTGTATGTGACGATACCAAAAAAGCAGGTTCCCTGAATTTTTTGAGTTGAGATCAGCATTTTTTTTAAAGACTAATACTGAGAATTACTTGTCCAAATACGTGGTCCTTAAAGAAGCTAGCAGCCTGTATCAATTTGCATTAAGTGTCAGAAAGAAATTTAGCTCAATAAAATCTACATGAAGAAATGTTATGCTAGAGTAGTCTCCATAATGGGTTTTAGAATATTTAAATGTAAATTGAGTGTAGAGAATGTGGAAAGAGCAATGGTTATATCAGTATAACCAACCTTAGAATTTAATGGTAACATATTAGAAATTGACTTTTTAGTCAATGTTATTCCTGGAAAATAATTTTTTAAAAAGTATTTGTTTCCTCTATATTCATTATTCTCCTGACCAACCTGATAATTTACTCTTTCTGTTTATATTTAACAAGAACTTAAATCAACACTATTTGAACCAATTAAATTTGTAAATACAATCTGATTTCAAATGCAAATAGAAAACATTGCTCATTACTTTACAGTAAAATTCAAAAGTATAAGCCAATCTCAAGCAGTGTCCTCTGACATATGCATTAATTTAAATACATCTCTATATATGTATACACACACACTTGAAACACAAAGTAGGAGATTTTAAAAGAAACTAAACGCAAATATGTGTGCATTACCAATGAAGCAGGACCTCAAAAAGAAATACTACAAACAAACAAAACCAATACCAATTAGAAAAGTATCACATAATATAAGCAAAAAGTAAGAAACTTTCAAAGTGAAAAAGCCACAAAGTTAACTAAGGTTCCCTGTTTTTTTCCTATGGATGAAAATAAGACAGAACACCCAATTTCTGACTCAGATTTTTACATTCAGGAGGAAATTCAGTCTTATCTTCACCAAACAGATTAGCTGATCACCTTTCAAAGTTACCGTATATTTCTAAAAGACATACATTTTGTCACAATTCAAAAAATCTACCCATTTCAGCGTTCTGATTCAATTTTTTGCCAGTACTGCGGTATTTTCTCTAGCAAATGGATACATTTAATTGACAGGAGAGACGGTCCATGCTTCACGGAACGCTCGCATGTAGTGCTTTCACCTGGTTATAAATTATTGGTACCACTACTTGCAACTCTTACAGATATGATTAACTAAATGAAAAAGCATTCCTAAGGGGTGCCTTCTGAGTAGGTGAACGCAAAGTTGCTGGCCAGAAAAATGTGCTGGAAATGTACACACATGTCTATTAAAGAAGTGGTTAAAAGGGGATGAATTCCCTGAGTCATTAAACAGGATATAAGCCAGACAGGTTGTGCCACCTAGAGAAAAACTGGAAATCGTGCATCGGCTGTTCAGTAGTAACATCATTTCAAAAGCCTGAAACTTTTGGCATGCTCAATAACCAAGCCACCCTCCACACCAACCCGGCAGCTGCTGGAGTAAGCTTTCCTGACAACTCTGCCTTCTCCATACACCAGACCGGCCTCCTGCTTCCTCACCCACTCACCCTGGCAGCACCATTTACCCTCAACACAGTCTGTGGCCACAGCCCATGCAACCCCAGCATCCTGAAACCCATCCAAGTCTAAAGCATTTTCCTCGAAGCCAGGGCAGGCCGGGGTGGGAGGAGCAGGGGAACCATCCTGGTGGACCTTGCCAGCCAGGGTCCCTGGGGATGCTAGTAGGGACAAGGCACACCCCTCCCCAGCCCCTTGGGGCCTGCGTAGGAAATTCTGGTGCACTCATATCCAGGTTACCGAGCTGAACTCCCTGGCCAACCTCGGCACAAACCAAACACCCTAAAGTGACCTCAACAGAACCAAGCCTTTAAGGTGCAAAAGGCCTTCAACTTTCCTCTCCGAGAGTCACTTAAAAGCAACGTGCCCAGCACCCTTGTCAGGCTGAAGCACAAAAGGTCGACAAGTCACCAGGCACGGAGAGCCGCTTTTACAAAGAAAATAGACAGTAACTGTGAAAAGCCCGCAGTCCTGCGGTATTAACTTGACAGCCAGCACTGCGCTGGGGCATCGCTCATCTTCGAGGCATCACTCCCAGCCCCAGACCGTCGGCCTTAGGAACAGCCTTCCTCCTCCCCGCTACCCCTCCGGAGCCCAGCCCGGAGGCAGCGCCCACCTCCCGCCCCCGCGCTCTTCCTCCACCCCCACCTTCTCCTCCTCCTCCCTGGATCTCCAGCAACTTTGGGTTGTGGAGCACCATCGAAGCTCAGCCACCGGCGGGGACCGCGCGAAGGCGGCCGCGGGAGGGGGAGGAAAGTTTGGAAAGTCGCTTAAAGCACTGCAGGCCATCCCTATCCTCTCCCCCAGCACCCACTCCGCACCCTGCCGCTCCGGGCTCCACGTGCGAGCGGGCCCTGCAGAAGCTGGAGTTCCCCTTCGGGCCTCTCCAGAAAAATCTTTCCCTAAATCAAAAAGTTGGCTGCTGCAGCGCCCTCTCTTTTTCCCCTTCCCTCCCACCTTGACCCCCCTCCCTCCCCGCCCCCCAAAAAAGAAAGAAATCGCTCCGAGTTCGCTCGCCGCCGCCTGGCTTCGCCCGCGGCACCAGTGGGCGCGGCGCCCCTCCCCCGCCGGCCGGTGGACAGGTCGGGAGGGGACTGGGGAGAGGGAGGCACGGGCGGCCGGAGCCCGGACCCCCGTCCCCGCCCCCCGCGCCGTCGCCTCACTCACCTCGCTCCTGCTCTTCCGCCTGCAAGCAGATGGGGATGTTCTTCTTCCAGCCCGGCATGGTGCCTGCTCCCTGCGCTGGCTCTGGGGCTCGCTCTGCCTCGCTCGCCGGCTCCCTCTCCGCGGCTGCCGCGCCTCCCGCCTGCCCTCCGGGGCGGCCGCTGCGCTCCGGCTCTTCAGCGGGGCTGGGGCGCCGCGGCGGCTCCCGGGCGCATCGAGGCGGCGCCACGCGCCCCGCGCTCGCCTCAAACTCGCCGGCGGCTCCAGGTGGCGGCGGCCGGACCGGGCGGGCCGGGCTGGAGGGGCTGCAGCTGCGGCTGCCGCGGTGAGCACGCGAGGCCGGGCCGGGCCGGGGGCGGGGGGCGCGTGCAGGCCGGGCGCCGGGACTGCGGAGCCCCCGGGAGGTGGGCGCCGGGGGGAGGAGTGGGCTCCGGCCGCCGCCTCTCTCCCCTCCTCCTCCTCTTCTTCCCCTTCCTTGTCTCCCCGCCGCCAGCAGGTGGGACTCGGAGCCGCGGCCGCCGCACAAAGCTCCGCGGGCGGCGGGACTGAGGCTGCGGGCTCCCCGGCGCTCGCGGCGGAGCCTCTCCCGAGAGGCGCGCGGAGCGGAGCGGGCACGGAGGGGGCGCGCGCTCACACCCTCCGCGCCCCGGGCGGCCTGCGAAGCGCGCCCGGCCGCAGGTACCGAGCCTGGCACCCCGCCGCGGGTTCGGAGCCCACGCCGCTCCCCTACGGCCGCCTCGCGTCCCTCCCCAGACCCAAACTGGCGGCTCCGCCGGCCGAGGCGACGACCTCAAAGAAGTAGGGGGCAGTGTCCTTCCTCTAGTCCCTCCTCCTCGCCGCGCTCCCCCCGCCCCGCTGTCACCCCCTCCCCCAAGTCCAGACTTGGCAGCTATGGATTCTCTAACTTCGCCCTTCGACTAAGGGAAAAAGCAACTTTCGGGATGACCAGCCATGGTTCCCGGAATACTTGTTCTGGGGGGTGGGAAGGGCATTCATAGACGAACCTCTTTTGTTTTAAAATGAAGCAAAGGAGACCTTGGCGGAGTGACTATTTAATTGCGTCTTCAAGTAGAAGAAGGGTTTTATGGTCTGGTTTTATGATGAATTGCTTCCCCTTGTCATGAGCTCTTAGAAATATCAGTAGAAGAATGAATCAGGGGGGAGGGGGAGGACAGCCTAACAGTAGAGCCTGGAAGACTCTGCCCAGATATGCGGGCCCTTGTTTGTGATTTCAAAAGACTAATGCTAGGTGGGGCTCCTGACAGTCTTACAAATGGCACCTGGTCCGTCCTGCAGAGTTATGAAGTCCATCTTCCCCAAGGCGGGGGTCCTGGCTCCATCACACCTATGCCTTCACCTCCCAAGAACCTGATGTGGACTGAAGAATTTCGAGCCCAGAGGCGACAGCTACTGATTTGTGAGTTGTTGGGGACCAACCACTGCACTGTCATGATTCTCTCTGACCTGCAGTTTATTTTGGCCTCTGACGGAACTGCAGTTTGCTCTCCCAAACTGAGGGCATCGGCTCTCTTCTCTTGGAAACATAATCATACAACCAGAGAATTTAATAACTCCAAAGGACAGCAAAGTAGGATTTTTTTCTCTCTCTGCCACTGCAGAAGCAGTCTTATCCGGCTGATGTTGGCTCCTGCTACTGCCCCTTGGCTGGGTGGCTGTCTGTCATGACAGAAATGCCCAGGTGCCAAAGGCAAGTGACTGTCTCTCCTAAGCAATGGAGAGGCTCAGGCCCAGGAGCTTGAAAGGTAAGAGAATCGAAGGGCAGAATCAAACCATTTCAGGCCGTTATCCTTAGAAATCTGGTCTGAGCTGCTCAAATCTTCTTTCCAGATTCTTTGAGAAGCAAAACTCAGAAAAATCAATATGAACGCCACTCCTGTCACTTTTCAGTGGCCCACCCTCTGTCCTGAAATAGTCTTAGCCTCATCTTGTTTCAAGATCTAGTCCCACTATCCTTCATTGGAGAAAGGCTTTTGTCATGGATTCCCCCAAAGGACAGAGCAAACCCAGCCATACCCAGGGCAGCTGGTGTATGTATGCAGGCAAAGACCTAGGTTTTTAACATGGGTCATGCTTGTTTTTGTTTTGATAGCGTCTTATATAGCATTTTTATGTGTTTGTGGTGGTTCTAACAAGCATCATTCTAGAAAACCTACACACTATAATATGGATTGAACTATACTTGTATAGGTACATTCAGTGGTGTGCTTGTCCTGCCAAAATTGAGTCCTGACAGATTACAGTTGATAGGGAGTTCCAGTGCACATCAGTTAAAATAATAGTGTTTTAACTCAGATAGACAAAATTCCTACTAATGTATTAGATTCTGGGTTAAAAGCCTGGAATCTAAGACAGTTACAATTTAGTAGTGGAAGATCAAGTTAACACATCCTTTTATGTGTTAGGGTCAGATATTTTACAGATTATACAACTGAGACTGGTAAAGAAACTCTTAAGAATAGATTTCTATCTTTCCCAACCTCAAAGTACTTATTGTCTGAACGCTCGTTAACAATATCCAACCTTGTATCATCTTTGTATGTACATGTAAGTCACCAGTTAGCCTCTAAGCTCTCTCAGGAAGAGGGGGGTGTTGGGGGGGGGGGGGGGGGGACTATGGCTTACCTCTTTGCATCCCCAGAGCCAGGGACAGTAAGCATTCAGTCAATGATGGTTGATGATAGTAGGATTAAACCTCATGTAGGCTACCTGGGCTATGCCTAGAACATCACCTCGGGGAAATAGGCCCTTATGAATCCTTTTCACAATACTATGTCACTTGATAATATCAAACCAGAAATAAAAGAGATAACTTAATCATTGAAAACTTCGTCTGATATATTTGTTTATTGTTGAAGTCACCTCATATCCAAAGCATCACATATACAAATTTATTCCAAGGAAATTGTAATACTGTTGGAACCTTTATGAGGAAGATATCTACCAACCAGTAGGATATAAGATATACTACTTTTCTCCTTTACTAAATTTGAAATTCAGTGTCCTTTAAAGACTTTAACTGCAATTACAACCGCAATGTCTGTTTCTAAACATTAGCTCACTTATATGAAGAACTGGTGCTCCTTTTTTTAAACACAAATTCTTCTAAGTTATTTGTACAATTTGAATGGCTTTATAGTCTGGGTTTACAGAATTCAAAGTTTAATTAAAATTAATTGTGCAGTGTACACAGTTGATTGCTCAGGCCATAGGACATAATCCTGGGTGTGCCCTTGCTTGATTTCCTTTTCTATTTAAAACTTTAAAGTAATGAGAAGAGACTTGTTCTCTTCCTACTCGTGCCTTTCTCACCTGGTAGAAAAGGAAAAAAACTCTAAAAGCTTTAATATTGCTATTAGATCACCTTTTCAAACTTACATGGATGCACTCAGCCCATTAAAGAATTGAAAATGTATGTGATAGAAAGAGCAGCCTCCCTTTCAATTCCTTTGTACTCTGACAACTGAGCTTCCAGTCTTCTGTTCATAGGGCTTTCATTCTAACAGAGTGTGATGACTTCCTGAGACTGAATTTCATGCGTTTGAGGAGTCCCCCAGGAGATATAAAACCCCAGCTGTTATTTTGGATTGGCTCCAGGGCCTAAAAACATCCACGATATTTTTTTTTAATCATGCATTGACTTTTCCAAATACACACACTGCATACTAAGCAGCCACCTGAAAGTTTTAGAACTGCTACCAAACATGCACTTCTTTTTTATGGCATGCAGCGAATTTGAAAACTCTTTTAACACTTGATATGCACTCCTAGTGGGTACCCAGGATTCTTTTAGATGTTGTTAACTCACTTTTGCAGCAAAACCCTCTTTGAACATTTAAAATGAAAGAAGCTTCCTTGGATAGTTTGTCTTCCTGGGGGGAAAAAAACAAAGAGAGCAGAAAGCAAACAGAATGAATGACAGTGGTCTTAACTTTAAAATTTTCACTTAGGAGAATGTAACTGGGGAAGGGAAACGTGGAAGGAGAAGAGATCTAACAAGAGTCATTCCGTAAGGAATGTGTGAAAGCAAAATGAAAGTTCATCTAAGAAAAACAGTAGAGTGTATTTTGAAATAGTAGTACAGGGCACAGTGGTTGGAGTCAGAGAGGCAATGGTGGTTAATTTTTTTTAAAATATATTTTATTGATATTTTACAGAGAGGAAGGGAGAGAGGTAGAGAGTTAGAAACATCGATGAGAGAGAAACATTGATCAGCTGCCTCCTGCACACCTCCTACTGGGGATGTGCCCACAACCAAGGTACATGTCCTTGACCAGAATTGAACCTAGGACCCTTCAGTCCGCAGGCCGATGCTCTATCCACTGAGCCAAACCGGTTAGGGCAATGGTGATTAATTTAATGTGTCAACTTGGCTGGGCTATGGGATGCCTAGATATTTGGTCAAACATTATTCTGTAAGGGTGTTTTAAATGAGATTAACATTTAAATCAGTAGAGTAAATAAAACAGATTGCTCTCTCTAATGTGGGTGGGCCTCATCCAATCAGCTGAAGGCCTGAATAAAACTAAAGGACTGACCCTCCCCCAACTAAGAAAGAATTCCTCCTGCCTATCTGCCTTTGAAGTGGGGCACGGCTTTTTCCTGCCTTTGAAGGGAAACATCACATCTCCTTAGGTCTGGCCCTGCTGGCCTCTGAAGGGAACTACACCATTGGTTCTCCTGGTTCTCCAGCCTTCAGACCCAAACTGGGTCTGGTTCATGGTCACCAGGTTCCTGAGTGCAGATCTTGGGACTTGTCAGCCTCCATAATCGTCTGAGCTACTTCCTTAGAAAAAATCTCTTTACACACACACACACACTTTATTGGTTCTGTTCCTCTAAAGCAGTGGTTTTCAACCTTCTGACCCTTTAAATACAGTTCCTCATGTTGTGACCCAACCATAAAATTATTTTCGTTGCTAATTCATAGCTGTAATGTTGCCACTGTTAGGAATCGTAATGTAAATATCTGATATGCAGGATGGTCTTAGGGGACCCCTGTGAAAGGGTCGTTCGACCGCCAAAGGGGTCGCGACCCACAGGTTGAGAACCGCTGCTCTAAAGAAATCTCACTAATACAGAGACCTATATTCAAATCCTGCCTCTACCACATACTAACTCTGCAACTCTGGGCAATTTCTTTAACCTGTCTAACTATGAATTTCCCTATGTTTGAAATGTAATACCTATATGACAATGTTATGGAGAGCATTAAATGAGCTAATACAGGCAAGGCACTTAGCACAGTACCTGACATGTGGCTAACTAAAGTTGGAAGAAGGTATTAATGCATTGGTTACAAAAGAAGTTATTCAGAGCACTCTTTCAGGATTCAATGGCTGGGTTTCAAAAACTCCCTAACATTGTATGCAAATTTCTGAATGTACATCTATTATCCCCCCCCGCCCACCACCCCCCCCCCTCCCACCTACACACACACATGCACACACGCACATACACACTTTTGGACATAAGAGAGTCTATAGTTCTCATCAAGTTCTCAAAGAAATGCGTAATCCAAGAGGAGAATAAAGGTCCCTGAATGAGAATGAGAAGATTCCATAATATATAATTAACGTTGGTTTTGCTAAAGAAAAGAAAATGTTAATCCAAAAAAGGATTTATCTTTCTAAATTATCATTAAGATTACTGATGCTCAAATTCTCCCTTTACATTCAGACTTTTCAAAAAGTCATCTATTTTGCTGATACCCAAGTTTTCAACAGTGATTCATTCTTTAACT